GCTTCTGCATACGGGGCGCAGGCTGGTTGGGGCGGTGGGTGGGTACGTGTCGGGTGTCACAGACAGGACACCTCTCCCTCCTGTAGCTGCCATAGACACCCCCTTGGGCTGAGCTTCCGGTCACTGGTTCTCAGCCTCAGCGGCGATTGCTGGGCCGTTGGGAACGTCCACTTGGGCATCCCGGGCAGGCAGGGGAGGCACCGAGTGCTCTCAGCCCCGGTGGCTGTGGGGAACATGGGCTCCCGTCAAGGCCGAGTTCCTAGCAGTGATGTGTGTCAGGGGATGTTCCTGACCCGGACTGGCTCCCCCTGCTCCGATCCAGCTCCTGTCTGGACACCACACATCCCAAGGAGCATCCTTCTGCCTGGCTCCTGCGCTCCCCCGTGCCCCAGCAGGCAGGTGCAGCCTTGGCCCTGCCTGACTCAGGGGGAAACCCAGAGGCTCGGTCTCTGCCAGGTGAACAGACCCATGGGCCCAGATTCATAGATTCATAGATGTTAGGGCCGGAAGGGACCTCAATAGATCATCGAGTCCGAACGCCTGCATAGGCAGGAAAGAGTACTGGGTTCAGATGACCCCAGCCAGATACCCATCTAACCTCCTCTTGAAGACCCCCAGGGTAGGGGAGAGCACCACCTCCCTTGGGAGCCCATTCCAGATTTTGGCTACTCGAACTGTGAAGAAGTTCCTCCTAATTTCCAGTCTAAATCTGCTCTCTGCTAGCTTATGGCCATTATTTCTTGTGACCCCCAGGGGCGCCTTGGTCACAAGAATTAGCCTCACTAATTCCCTTCTGCGCCCTGATGATGAATTTATAGGCAGCCACAAAGTCACCTCTCAACCTTCACTTGTGGAGGCTGAAGAGGTCCAGGTGCCCCAGTCTCTCTTCATAGGGCCTCGTAGGTTGGTCAGGCAGGACCTGCCTTTGATGAACCCATGCTGATTACCCCTTAGCATGATCTCCCCTGATGGCTCCCCACAGATGAGCTCCTTGATGATTCTCTCCAAGATCTTCCCAAGCACCAAGGTGAGGCTTACAGGCCTATAGTTACTTGGGTCCTCCTTCCTCCCTTTCCTGCAAACTGGGATCACATTAGTCAGTTTTCAATCCCCTGGCACCTGGCCAGATGACCACGAATGCTCATACAGCCGGGCAACCTCTCAAGAGGTTGCTGAGTAAGGCAGCTTTTCCCCATTTCTACTCACACTCCCTATTCTATTCTAGCATGAAATTAGAAGGATAAGATTACTAAACAGAGACCAAGCACACTTGCTAACATGTAGTCTAGGCCTACAACCGCCTCACTCCCAGCCCTGGGCCACCAGTTCCTCCACTAGCCCAGCTCACAACTTCACACAGCTCTGCCCATGCCCCTCAGTCTTCATCCACAGGCTCTTCCTTCCCCACCAAGGCCCTTCATGTATACAGGCTAACAGCTATGCTAAGCCATATATGGCATACACAGCAGTCTGGTCTGCAGACAATGAGAGACAGCTCACTGACTTTAAAGAAAGCCCCATCAATCAGGGGTTAGATAATGGGCCTCCCCACTGTTAGCTACAAAAGTATGTCAGAGTTGAGGGAACCAGAACACACTACCTTTTCACTGAGCTCTGGGAAAGTTGCGCTCTCATATGGGAAGGAGGGGTCATCCACGATGTGCCAGTGAAATACATTTAGTTTGTTATATGCCATGACATCCTGGAAGTCAGAAGAGAGCAACAGGGTTACAGATGGATATAGCCTTGTCCCAAGCATCAGCCAGTTTCCTTCCGAGTGCCCTGGGCATCTAAACAGGGACTTCAGAGTGCAAGTAGAACACCCTCAGGGTTCTATTTCCAAACAGGTTCCAATCGAAGGACAGCACCATCCGCCCAAGCAACAGCTCTAGGATCAAAGGGTCACACAGAGAACTGCCCACTGTGTGCACCATCACTGCTAAGAGGTGCTGTAGACCAAGTGGCATCCTTGCGACACCCATTCAAGCCCAGCTATCCTTATGGGCAGCCTACCTACAAGCCTACTCAGGAAGTCCTGAGGAATCCTCCAGGAGAGGATATGAATGGCTTGCTCTGCTTTTAAGGCAGAGAAACTTGCTAGCAAGACAGGGAATTTCCAGGTACACATACCAGTGTCTCAAGGATGGTTCCCACAGGCAGATAGTGGCGAGAGGTGTCCAGCAGCAAGCCTCGATAACGAAAGCGGGGAAAGTCCACAATGTCAGTCTTATTGACATAGTACTGCACAGAAAAGAGTGTGTCAGCCCCTCAGTAAGTAAGGGGCTCTAAGTAAGCGCACATACACATTGTAATATTCCCATGAGCACACTTACCACGTAGGGTTAGCTTTCTTCTCAGCAGAGGCCTCTACCTCCCTAGGACTCAAGAAGGCTGGGCAGGAGCATTCCCATTAGCCCATGGATGGCCTTGGACAAGCCAGCCACTAGGACCTGCTACATAGCTCCAAGACATGACTCCTCCCTTCCCAAGAGAAAGCGTTCCCCTCCCTGCTCATTCCCAGCGTTCCCTACATTCAGCTACTGGCTTCACTGGCCCCATGAGGTTGGGCAAGGCATCACCACAGGAGTCTGCACTAGTCGCCTGCAATGAAGGCTGGGCCCATGTCTCCACCCTTCAGGATAGCAAGCACTACACTCACTGTGCCATCTTCAGCCTGTCCAACAAGCTGGCTGAAGGTCTCCAGGCCTGTAAGAGAACCACATACAACATTAGGCCTTCAGCATGGAACAGAGCCCAGGAGATGGAGAAAAATAGAGGTGTGGGGGTCACAAGAAGGCTCGGAGGAGGGCAGTAAATATCAGATTATCTCAAAAGGTGAACACACCTCACCTCTGAGTGCTCCCCACACA